ATATACTATTCTCAAGACCAAACAGCCCCACAGTGGTCCAGCTTTGACAGAAAAACAGAGCCCTTGCTATGTAGACTATTACTTTTTCATAATTTGGGGATGCTGCTCCTATGAAATTAGGAAGTTCCCCCAAATATTATACCAGACATGTCAAATTCATTGCCTGTCATGCACTAATCATGTCTAAGGGAGGCTGTTCTATCCATGAACTTAGTTCTGAGTTATCATTTCTGTCAGCCACAGCTAATTGAACTAGGGATCAAAGGTGACAAGTCCATAAACATTTACAGCTCAGTGAGATTCAAACAACAAATAACACAGTTTTAGAAATCTAACAAATGAAAATCACCTAAGCATTAAACCCTTAAAAACCTGTAAATGTTTCTTTCTTTTCTCTTTTATTGGGGGGAGGGCCTGGACCATGGTATATGTGTGGGGGTCAGAAATAACTTTTGGGAGTCAGTTATTCCCTTACTCTGTACATTCCAGAGACTGAACTCAAGTCTTCAGGTTGGGTAACAAGCACCTTTATGCTGCCCACTCCTCCACTGCCCAACCATCTTCTTGGTCCTGCTGTCTGCACTCTCCAAGCATCAAACAGTGTTTGTAATGTAGATCTCCAATAACTTTTCTGTAAGCAAGAGTGAATATTTCTGTTTGAAAACATGAGACTAATACAACTTAGATTCCAAGATTAAAATATATCGTTTTACCTTATTTAATATGATATCTTTTGTTTTTCATTATTTTCATTAAAATATATCTAGTCAGATTTGTGGTGGCATGTGCATATCATTCTAGCACTTTGAAGACTCAGAAAGATCTATAACTTTGTTCTTTGGGGTTTGAAGATTTATGTGTATGACTGCTCTGCCTCTATGTATGTATGTACACCATATACATGCCTGTTACCATGGATGTCAGGAGAGCCACAGATTCGCAGGAACTGGAGAAGATTTTGACCTTGTACTCCACTGTTCTGCCACACTGTGTCTAAATGAACCTTTATGAACCAACTACCATCCAGTTTCAATGGATCCTCTTGCTCACAATTTCACTTGGGAAGACCAAGTTCTCAAGGTTGCATCATGCGCAAAAGTCATGGTGTGGCTTCTGGGACACTTTGGCTTATTATTTTTTGTATGGTTTTATGAGTTGGGTTAGGCAGAATTCTCCCCAGAGCAATAAAGAATACACACTTCCTAGTGAACTTTTCTCCAATTCACACACTAGCTGGATTTTCTGGGAACATTTCAGTTGAGAAACTGGAACAATAATTAGGATTGCTTTCCAAACACCACCAACCTTGATTAGCTTGAACTCGTTGATTTGAGCTCAAGAAGATTTGAGTTCTGGTTCATCTCCAGCTCCAGCAGCCCCTGGCAGTTACCCAACTTGAGTTTCTCCAAGTTGAGTTTCATGATCTTGACAATTTAGAAGAATATGGTTTCTTCCTGGGGAAAAATGTTGCTTCAGGTAAACTGATTGTGACCCATGCCACCTGAGCTGTTGGTAAGGTCAGGCCAGGTAATATGATGCATCCCTACTTCGGAGTATGGCCTGCTGCTGCACACAAAGGCCTCAGCCTTTGCCCTAAACTCAATAGAACTGTCAATGGTTAACCTTAAGTATCACCTTAATTGGGCTAAAAGATGCTCAAATGGGGAGTGATAGCAGGAGCCTTTGATCCCAGCACTCTGGAGAGAGAAGCAAGTGTGCTTTGTAAGTTGGAGGCCAGTCTGATCTACATAGAAACCCTGTCTAAAAAGAACAACAAAAGGATGGCCAGATAGCTGATAAAACATTAATTTTGGATGGGTTGGGTATTTATAAAAGAGCTTAGCATTTTTCATAAACTTCATAAATTGGGTAGGCACTATCTAATCTGTCATTTGAGGGCCTAGATATGGCAAAAGAGCTGGCAAAGACAGCACTCTGGCTAAAATGGGTTAAGTACCTTCTGTCTTTTGACCAATTGTCCTGACCATCAAGTCTCCAACCACAGACTAGGACTTACTCATTAACTCCTCAGTTTTTATTTAAACACCTGACTTTGTATCGAAACTATTACCATCTTGTTTCCTGTATTTCCATCGTTTGCAGGCCACAGATCATGAGATTCTTTAACTTTCATGATCACTTGAGCCAATCTCTCATAATAAATTTGTGTGTACCCATGCATGTTCACCCATGTGAGTATACACATTCTATTAGTTCTACTTATCTTGAGGCACTCTAGAATCATCTTAACTTACATTGGTTCTCTGTTTTCTGAGGATGGGACTAAGGGGCCCAGTACATGCTAGGCCCTACCACTGAGCTACAGCTGCAGCTTAACTTCCTAATTCTGGTAGGTCATAATTGATTTGAGAAATTATGAATGGAAAGTAATTTTTTAGAACTTACGTGTTTAATATGAAATCGTGATTCTAGGGATCAAACCCAGGTTGCCAGACATGCTAGACAAATGTTCAAACACTGATCTACACCTATGGCCCTAAGACATCAATCATTTGATATACCTTCAGTTCTGATAATTTCATCAGCATAATAAATTGGCTCTTCACCAAAAAATAAAATAAAATAAAATAAAACATACATCTAAGAATCAGAATGTATTTGGAAGTAGGTCCACTGCTTAAGTAACTTGTTAAAATGAAGTCATACTGAATTAGAGTAGCCAATAGAGATAATGCCATGTGACAATGAAAACAAAGACTGGAGTAACACAGCTGCAAGTCAGGAACACAAAGACTGTCAGGAAACTTCTAGAAATCCAGGGAGACAAAGAAGAGTTCCTGTAGATTCAGAAGGAACACAGTGCCTTCATTTTAGACATGTGAGACAAATATTTGCAGTTTTAAGACATTCCACATCTTATACTTGGCTATAGAAGTTCTAGAAAATAAGTAGGGAATTCTAGTTTGGGAATTACTTTTTTATACAAATTTTATAGCTTGCAGTTGTTACAGTGCTGTTAATGAAAAGTGCATCCTGTTCTGATTACTAGTTTTGTTTTTCAAGACAGGGTTTCTCTGTGTAACAGCCCTGGCTTTCCTGGAACTCACTCTGTAAACCAGGCTGGCCTTGAACTCAGAGATCTGCCTGCCTCTGCCTCTTGAGTGCTAGGATTAAAGATACGTACCACCACTGCCTGGCACAGAAGGGGACTTTTTATTCTCTAGAAAACTTTATGGTCTTCTACTTAGACCTGGAATTCTGGAATTTTATGATTATGTGATAATTATCAAGGACATGCAAAAAAGACTACTCCAAAGGAGCAGAGAAGATGTAGCTCAGTAGTTGGACATTGTGTAGCATACGTAAGTCTGTGGGTTTGAGCTCAGGCACTGAAACAGAGGTAGAAAGAGGAAAAGTTAAGTAATGTGAAACCCCAGTTCATAAGAATAGTTCCTATCAGCATAGAAAACCCACATAATTTGCATGGCGCATGAGGAAGCTTGAAGATGACTGCCCATTGTTGGAATTCAAGTAAGTCATGATGGGGAATGTTCTTCTGTATATATGTTTGTCTTATCAGTTGATGAATAAAACACTGATTGGCTAGGCAGGATGATAGGTAGGACCGGACCAGGAGACAGGGAAGATTCTGGGAAGTGTAGGCAGAGAGGAGTCATCATGTGATCCCAGGAAGTGAAGTACCTGGGCAGAAACTGCCACTAGCTAGCCAGACAGGCAGGAAGTGACGTAGCTGGGCAGAATCGGAATATAAGTAGGGACAAACAAGAAATTGCTCTTCTCTGTGGAGATGTAGCAGTCAAAGGAGTTGCAAGTCCTTTAAGCGAAGACCTCGCGGAAATACTTAGATTGACAGAAATGAGTTAATAAGACAGAGCTACCCAATAAGAAATGCTAGTCACTGGCCAAGTTTCATAATTAATATAGCATCTGCGTGTTCATTTGGGGCTGACACGGCAGTGGCAAGAAGAATGCTCATAACAAGGTCTCACACAAAATTCTGTATTGACTCTACCTAGTAACAAGTAGAAAACTGTAGTTGAATGGAAAAAGTGGATCACTTATTCAATCCGTTAGGTATTAAAACAATCCTGTCCTGGAGGTGTTGAGAACTTAGCACAGACCAAGGGCTTTGCTGGTTATATTCAAATTCCATAAAAATCATTTCACTTATATAAGGGACTAAAAGGATTTGGGTTCACTACATTTTCAGAAGTGGCCCTATAAGGGGCTGGAGAGATGGCATAACCATTAGAACTGGCTGCTCTTCCAGACAATCTGGGGATTTTGGGTTAGATTCCCAACTCCCATATGGTAGCCCACAACCATCTTTAACGTCAGTTCTAAAACATTCTATGCCCTCATGTGGCTTCCTTAAGCACCAGCCATGTAAATGATGCACAGACATTCATGTAGGTAAAACCCTTATGAATACAAAAACAGTTTTTTGGGTTTTTTTTTTTTTTCAAACTAGAAATTCTCTCTCTCTCTCTCTCTCTCTCTCTCTCTCTCTCTCTCTCTCTCTCTCTCTCTCTCCTGTCACACACACACACACACACACACACACACACACGTCATACTTCATTCACAAAATACTTTGAATTGACCAATTAAAAGCGTGACTTTGTGGTGCCTAGAGCACCTTCTCTCCGGGTCAACTACTATGCACCTACTCCCCTTCTGCTCAAACAGACTCGTGGCAAAGATCCGAACTGTGGATTTTTAAAAGTAAACCAATCTGGGATATTAACACTTAAAGCCTCGGACATGGGAGAAACCGGCCGAGAGACAGTCAGTGTGCAAGTCCAAGGTCAGAGGCTGCCGAAGATCAAGCAGGGCCTGGAACTAATAACACGACTCCCCGAGGCAGGACACAAGTCGGGATATCGGTTCTTTGCAAGCGCGGGTGGTTGGAAGTGGGCGAGCACAGACCACAGCCGCACAGCCTCACCCGCCACAGCTCTGCGGGGGAACCCGCATCCTTCCGGCTCTCGCGTTGCTTCCATCCTCACCCTTCCGGCTTCCGGTCCCGTCCACCAAGGGCTCTCTGCCGTCATTTCCTGCGGGTCTGCATCGCCGAAGAGAAGATGGCGGCGCTGGGGGAACCCGTCCGGCTGGAGAGGGGTGAGTGCGGCAGCTCTCGCGGCCGCGGTGGGTGGCGCGGGTGGAGACTGACGGAGGGCTCCGCCGGCCGGAGCGAAGGCGAAGTGGCCGGGACGCTGACACCCGGAGCGCCTTCCCGGCCTTCGGGCTGGGCGCTGCTTGTGGGAGGAGCTGGCCGGAGCCCTTAGTTCACTGACGGTGGGCGCAGCTCGGTTCCTTGGACCTGCCCAGGGCTGCAGGCATGCAGTGAGCACTGCAGAAGCGGCGTCCAGCCTCCTAAATCCCCCCAAAAAGCAAGTCCCGCCACGCCGTTCGGGACTGCCTGCCTCCATTGCCCCTGTGCGAGTGTGCCCGCCTGCCTTGGTTCATACGCTTGGCACACACAGGCACATTCCCGCATAATAAACTCCCTCGCCCCCATTTAAACACACACTCCCTCATTACTTTGACCGTGACCTCCTGGGCTTTGAGTTGGTGTGTCTTGGCTTTTGCAGTCCTTCCAGTCACGGAGGGGATGCTTTAAAAACAAGCCAACTGACTTGTTCTTGCAAAGGAGATTACATAACGAGGTGGAGTAGTGGTTGTTTAAGTGCGGTGCTGTTCCTTACTTATATGCCCTACAGTTGCAAACTTGGTGGGTTGATTGCTGCTTAGAGCAAACAGTCAAGAAAAATAAAACCTATTGTGGAAATACTCTACCAGTGACCAGTTGCAGATTTCCAACTTTGTACTCTGCCCTGCCCAGATTCTTAGATTTCAAACAGCAGGAGCAAGCTTTTTACAATTGGAAGCCATAGGAGTAAGGAAGTACCTGTTAAGCATTTTGAGTACTGTTGGCAAACGAATCTGGAGTGGAGTTTGACACTACTTTGCATATATTATTATTAACAATTAAACTTTCCATTACTATTGTCCAAGAAGGAAATAATTTAAAAGTGGGTGCACTTAAAAGAACCACTTTCCTAGGACTTTTTTCTCTCCAGCCCATCAGGGCTTTAATTAAAGCAGCATTTTATGACAGAGGGTAGCTTGGGAAAGACTCAGATAGGCTTATAGCTGTGACATTTTCTTCTTAAGCGTAATGTCACTGTGCTTTGTAGACAGGAGCAAATCTGCTGGTGTTAACCAGAATGATTAGAGGTTTCTAACAAGTTGGTATTCTTTGTACTTTTAAATGAAGTACAAACTGTGGACCCTTATCCTCTGGCATTTGCCTTTTGCTGTTAGAGTTTCCAGTTACAGTAGAAAATGCAAAATATCAGCAGGGATAAAGTACCAGTTGATTGTTGCCAGTTAACAGGATCAGCAAATCAGATGGCTTCAAGTCTTCTTTTGGTAGAGGATTCTAACAGACCGAACAGATACTCTAAATAGTTCACAGGAAAATACCAGCACATGTGACCAAGTTCCTGATCAAAATGCAGTTCAGTCAAACTTAGTGGGCATATATTTGGTACAGTTTAGGCTTAATAGAGTTTTGAGCTTGTTTCTAAGTGTAGCTTATTAATTAGCTGGACTCCCCTCCCTTCTTTCCACCACATTTGAGTAATGAGTTGAGGCATTGTACATGTTAGGTGAGCACTCTACCACTGAGCTACATTCCTAGGCCTATTTATAGGTTTTTCGTGTGGATAATAAATTGGAACTTTGTAAATCAACAACTCCTGAAACAACATATACTAGCCATTATGGAGGTGGGAAACCAGAGGAAAGGTGGTCTGTTTGATTAAAAAGAGTTTAAACTTTTATTATCTAAAACTGAATCAACTTTTTGCTTCTCGCTAAGTTTATTTGGGCTTTTTTTATCAGCAAATGCAAAGAAGAGTCCTTCCCAAGTCTATGAAGTAAATATCTGGTTCTTTACTGTATCATGAAATCAAAAAACTTCCTCCACTTAAGTCAAAGTATTCAAAGATTAGAATATATAGAATAGTAGGTATTCTAGTCTTTGGAAGTAAATGAACACAATTAAAATTTACTGAAGTTCCGGTTGATTAGTGGTATTAATACACTGAGACTTGGGTTCAGAAAAACCTTGGGGGGGGGTCAGAACAGAGGTCATGATTAATAGTGTTATAACATGAATCTTTATTTCTTTAGTTCTTTGTTCATAAAACACATTTGTACATTTCCCAATCACAGTAACTGAGCGAGCGTGCGTGCATGCGTGTGTATGTGTGCAACGGTGGTAGAGGCCAGACAAAGTCAGATCCCTAGAAACTAGAATTTTAGGAAATTGTGAGATGCCCAAGTGGGTGCTGGGAATCAGGAAGTGCTCTTAACTGCTGAACCAACTCTCTAGCCCCTAATCTCTTAATATTTCTTAAGATTAGTCTTAAGATTAGTCCATAGCAGTGTGGCATATCTGTGCTTGTGAGGCTTTTTAGTTCTTTTCTTCCAAATGAGGTACTATTTAGTCTGTTACAGTGAAAGGCTGCAACACAGCCTGGGAATTCCAAGGTCACATACAAGCATTAAGACCAGGTTGATAAAGCTATTTTTTTTTTTTTTCTTTCTGTTTTGTAAACCATGTCTGGACATTTTCAAATTAAAAGTGTTAGCAATCTTCACAGCTAATTGCATTTCCATGTGTCATTGAACAGTCTGCGTGTGCATATGTATCATGTTTTGCTTCCAGAAGTAACAGTGGTACCACTAGCACATGCTCTCTGGTACTGGTTGGCTGCTTTGGTTACTAGTGAGATGATAGTGTAAATTTTTATTGGCTGAATAATGCAGGATAAGCCCGGCGATGATAGGGCATGCCTTTAGTCCCAGCACTTGTTCTCCATGAGTTTGAGGCCAGCCTAGTCTACAAAGCTACACACACAGAAACCATGTCTCAAAAAAAAACAAAAAATCATGATAATACTAATAGCTTTTCGTATTAAAGATTTTTTTCTTATCTATACAATATTATTTGTCTTTGGGAAAATTTAGGGTTTTTTGTTGTTGTTTGGGGGGTTGTTTGTTTTGTTTTTTGGTTATTTGCTTTGTTTTGGGGGCAATATTGAAACCCAAGCTGGCCTTTAACAGGAGGTGGTCATCCTGCCTCTGTCTCTGGAGTGAGAATTATTCATATTGGGACCACCTGGATAGCCTTTGGATTAATCTTAGTTGCTACAAAGTTCTAAAGGGATGAGGAGAATCCTTAGCACGAATTAATCATTTGTGTTTTGTTTCCCTGTAGATATCTGCAGAGCAATTGAACTATTGGAAAAACTACAGAGGAGTGGAGAGGTGCCACCACAGAAACTTCAGGCATTGCAAAGAGTCCTTCAGAGTGAGTTCTGCAATGCTGTGAGGGAGGTGAGTTAACATGATTTATATTTCCTCACATTTTGAGTTAATTAGCTATAGAAATACATTGAAATCTATATTCAGAAATACAGTACTCAACCTGTAATGCCAACACTTGGAAGGGTGAAGCAGGCAGAAGAATTCCCATGAGATACAGGCCAGCCTGGTCTCCAAAGTGCATTGTAGACCAGCCTGCCTGAAAAAAGATAAGAAGAGAGGTGGGGCAGGGAAGAAAACATTAGAACTGGTCTTGGCTCTCATTGTTTTTTAATCTTTAGCTGGGTGTATGGCTCAGTGGTAGATTTTGTACATGTCTAGCTTTTATAAAATCCTGGGTTCAGCCCCTAGAACCACCACCAAAAGAGAAAGAAGAATTTCCTTTGAAATTCCTAATAGAAAAGCATTTACATTTTACAAAGATATCTTTGGGAAACTTCAATGTATTTGGTAACTCCTCAGAGAACTTGAACATAGATGTATCCCAAAACTTACATATGAAAACTTTGTGATTTACAGGTATATGAACATGTTTATGAAACTGTGGACATCAGTAGCAGCCCTGAAGTGAGAGCGAATGCAACTGCAAAGGTAAAGGTTTTCATTGACCAAAAGTGGGGCTGGCGAGATAGTTTAGTGGGTAAAGTGCATGTTGTTATGCAAACACTAGGACCTGAGTCCAGATCCCTAACTCCCAAGTAAATGCTCAGCATAACAGTGTCTATAACTGTGGTGCTGGAGGGGTGAGGAGGTAAATATCCTGGGGGTTCTCCGCCCAGTGAGTCAGCACACATGTGCTCACACAGAGACACACAGGTTGTCTATACATGTGTGTGTGTGTGTGTGTGTGTGTGTGTGTGTGTGTGTGTGTATACATATGTATGTTTACTGTATAAATAGTGCAGAAGTCATAAATTGAAGATGTAATATGCAGTTACTAGATACATAGTAAGCTGTGGAAACTAGCTTATGTCCAAACCATACTATACTTCTCAGGTACTAAGAAATAGGAATGTTTTATTGGCTTTGTAAGATATTTTGTGATACTGTTTAGATGGCACATTGAAAGTACAACAGTGTGTATATCGTGCCTCTTATTCTATTCAGTACATTATACAGATTTATGATTGAAGCATTAATTTTATAACTGATGGGGGTGACTTTCTTATTGATGAGGAAGTATCAAAGTTAGACTACTTTCCTTGCGACACACAGCAATAAGTTAATGGTAATCCTCGAGACCCTAGGGTAAGCCCTAACATTCTTTTGGATTTTCCCTTGACTTTGGCCCTATACATATTGGATAGTGTTGGTCCTAGGCCACCTCCTCTGGGCTGTAGAGTGTGTGTGTGTGTGTTGGGGTTTTTTGTTTTTGTTTTGTTTTTTGTACCAGTGTTGTTTTCCTCAAATAACTCAGACATTGAGCTAGATGTAGATCATGTATGCTTACAATACATTAATTTATACTACACGTACTTAGTATAGTAGCAGGCTATTCTTTTTATTTTTATATTTTGTGCATTGGTAAAATGCCTGCATGTGCTTCTGTTTGAAGGTATCAGTTCTTGGAGTTACACAGTTGTGAGCTACAATTTGGGTGCTGGGAATTGAACCTAGGTCCTTTGGAAGAGCAGTCGGTGCTCTTTAACCACTGAGCCATTTCTCTAGCCCCCATGCAGGCTATTTTTTTATTGCTAGTTACTGGTTCACAAAGGGAAGTACTAGAATCTTCATTAAGTATAGGTACTTAGATGTGTAAGTTTCTTTTGTCATAGTCACTAAATACATAGAAACTTGGAGTTTGGGGATTGTGGGGTTTATAGAGTATCTGCCTAGCATGCAAAAGGCTTTGAGTTCCATCCATCCTTACTACCACGTAAAATCCAGTGTGGTGACATGCCTCTGATCCCACCATTTGGGAGATAGTTGTAGGAGGAGTAGAAAGTTGAGGTTATTCTTGGTTCTGTAACATGTTTGGGCCAGCCTGGGCTAAATGAGGCCCTGTCTCAGAAAAGGAAAGAAACATTCTTTTTTGCAGGTTTTGTCAGCACACTTGCAATACAGCACTTTAGGCTGAGCTGTGAAGATGAAGAATTTGAAATTGTTCCTCCCTTGCTTCTGTAACTCAGAATTTACAGCGCTTATGAGCCTTAGTTCTGTTTGTAAAATGGGAACTTTTTAGTGCTTCCGAGATAGCAGTTGGTATTCAGTAAGTCTCAACATCTTTCCCCTTCCTTCTTCTCATTTTTTGTTTTTCCATTCAGTATCCATAATGAAAATGGTATCCTTAAAAAGAAAAAGAAACAGAATGTAAACCTATATTAGAATATAATTAGACACAGTTCTGTCTCTTCTATTTCGTGTTTTTGGTGTAACTAGATACTTTAACTAAAGCAACAAAAAATATTCATATGGGTTATATGTATCCTTCCTTGTCTGAATATTGACTTATTTCTTGAAATTTTTGTTATTTAGTATTTGGTATAAACAATATAGCAGCTATGAGCTCATTTAAGGACAGATTTATGTAGATAGGTTGTGTCGCCCAGGGGCCCCTGAAGGAACTGGTCTATATGCTCTGAAGCTCAGAGCTGTTGGCATCCTCAGGGAGGGCTTCCCCTCTTAATATCAATACATCTCTCTGCTTGGCAAACCTTCTTGACCAACCCTGTACACATACACATGTAGCACATATTTCAGAAGTTAACTTCCTACATAATCTCTGAGTATTTATCATTTTCATTTATCTCCTACAAACATGTTTGACTTTCAGTGAAGTTGTATGAGCTCACACATGAAAAGCTTTGTGGTTCAGAAGTGCCTTTGGCAGGCTAGAGATCACATGCTTAGCATATCTGAGTCCCTAGGCTCAAACCCCAGCACCTCAAAAATAAGTTATGTTCTTAGATGTGTGCATTTCTCTTCCAGGCTACTGTTGCTGCATTTGCTGCCAGTGAAGGGCACTCCCATCCCCGAGTTGTTGAGTTACCAAAAACAGAAGAGGGCCTTGGATTCAATATCATGGGAGGAAAAGAACAAAACTCACCAATCTATATTTCGAGGATAATTCCAGGTGGAATTGCTGACAGACATGGGGGTCTCAAACGAGGAGATCAGCTACTTTCAGTCAATGGAGTGGTAAAGATAAATCTGTTTACATTTGTTTAATGCAGTAATGTGTTGTAGCCACTTGGGGGTGCACTGGAGCAATGGAATCATAAGATGAAAGGAAAAATTTCTGAGACTGAGTTAAAATCCCTTGAGAGAAACTCAGTACAGTTCAGTGTTGTGTGGTTGTTTTGATTTGCTGGTGATAGTGGAGGTTGTTGTTGGGCTGAACACCAACCTCAGAATAATAGGTGACCACTTGACCACTAAGTTGCATCCTCAGCCCAGTACTTTAAGTGTGCCTGTAGAACAGCTCACAGACTCTGGACTGACATCTGGAGAACCTGCATGGGACTGAACTAGGCCCTCTGAATGTGGGTGACAGTTATGTGGCATGATCTGTTTCGGGAGGAGCCCTTGCAATGGGATCAGGACCCATCCCAGGTTCATGAACTGCCTTTTTGGAGTGCATTCCTTATGGTGGGATATCTTGCTCAGCTATCATACAAATGGAGGGGCTTTGTCCTTACTCAGCTTGATCTGCCAGACTTTGTTGATTCCCTAAGGAAGGCCTTAGTTCTCTGAGGAGTTGATGGGGGGGGGGCAAGAGAAGGAGAGGAAGGGGGAACTGAGATTAGTATTTACAATCCTTGAGTGTATACAAATGTGTATCATAGGATTTCACATTGATTAAAGTGATGAAGTAAGATTATTATTATTTTTATAGTGCTGAAATAATGTAACATTTAAAATTTTTACTTGTGTATTAAACATTTTTATAGGTTGGCCTACTTGTAAACATGTTTACTTGTTCATTGTTGGATTACTTGTTAATTGTGTCTTTGTGTGTGCATTTTTCAGAGTGTTGAAGGAGAGCATCACGAGAAAGCTGTAGAGCTACTGAAAGCAGCCCAAGGGAAGGTTAAATTAGTTGTACGGTATACACCAAAAGTCTTGGAAGAAATGGAATCACGCTTTGAAAAAATGAGATCAGCAAAACGCAGACAACAGACCTAATCTTTTAAAAACTTTGTGTTCCTCTTTGCTTTTAGCTAGAAAAGTTGTCCTGTGACCTACTGATGGCCTCGATGCCAGTGATTGTAAACCACCAGAAACTTCCGTGAAATCTTCTTGCCATTTTATAAATGCCTATTTTAGCATCACTTATGGTTGTAGAGAAGCATACACTTTTTTTCTCACGAGAAAAAGTAAAAGGTGATGAGGGCAGTTCTGTCCTGCTGTTTTTACAGGCCTTTTTCAAATGCAGATTTTGTCACAAAGTTGTTATAGATTTTTAAAAATGCTTTTTTAATATTAAAATGTACTTTTACATTCTTAATCTTTTTTTAAAAAGAGCTTTTCTTCATTTGGCAACTTATTTACAAATAACAGTTCTCCAATATTTCCTTTTGCTTACTGCAGTTTCTTTGTGAAATTTCTTTTCAATTTTCCAAAATATTACAACTAGCAGTCTTGCCTTCAGCAGTTTGTCACATTGAATGTTGGCATTGCTGCTGCGTTTTGTACTTAGAACATACATAAAATATCTGTAATCAGTGGTAAATCATCGCTATCGTGGAACCTTTTTTATTTAAACAGTGTAAAGGTGTTCATTTATACTGATTTGTAAAAGTAAGTTTTTAAACACTGAAGCAATCATTGCTAAATATGTATTTCATAATATTTAAGCAGTGAAGCGAGAGGATGTAATTTGATTATTAGCATTGCTGATTAAATCCCTTATTTATATTTAACAATATGTCATAAATTATAAATGCAAACAGGTTCAGATTTCAACTTTTCAAGTTTTTTATGCTATTCATTTATATTTAAATACATTTCTCGTATTTCAGTTCTTCCATGCCTGGAGATGAGTCAGTTTGTGCTGAGAAAAATGAAAATAAGACAAAGGAATAATTTCAAGTGTGGAGCCTGAAGAGCCCAACATAATTACTGTTCAGCTTCAGTTCCAATCCCAGAGAGGGAGAGGAGGCAGGATTTGTTTAGATACAGAAACAGGCAGCTTCTTAAGTCTCACAATGAGTGGGATTCAGAATCCTTATCTTTATGATTTAGATAGCAATGGGAGTTTGAACGATGCTTTGTACCATTTGTCCACTGGATGTCACCATTTTACTAAAAGGCAGCTATTGATGTGTGATTATGACTAAGTCTTCTAAAAGCTAAAATCAAAGTTGATTCATTTTCAGTCACAGATTATAGGAACATAAAGGGTTGAAGTGATAATATTGAGAAAATGTTGGGTTGAAATGCAGGAATTTATCATAATTATGACTTTATTTTATTTTTCTTTTAAAAATGGGCATTTTGTAACATTCCTTCAGGAAGAATGGAAGTGTGTACATGTTTTGCATGTTTGTAAGCACTGTCAGTCTTACAGGATATCTGCAGCTTTCAGTGATTTTCAGAGTAACAATCAATCAGCATTGTTATTTATCATTTAGGAATTGAACACTGGATTGTGCATGGTTGAATGTCTTTAGTCCACTACAAAATGTGCTTGATATTGATAGCATCATGTTGAATTGTATATTTTCAAAATTAGCTGGTGTGTTTTTAAAATGTTGAGACCAAAGTAGTATAGAAAAGTATGACATATTTTAATTGTAGATTATTAGAGGTATTTGTTGTAAAACATATATATTAAAGTTGGTGCATAGAGAACAGTAATATTATTGTTGTGCTCGTATCCCTACACCATAGGGCAAGTACACCCTGGGGAAATCTTGTGTCAGCCTGGCTACTATGGCTGCAGTTGCTCCTGAGGGCGCATCAGCGTTCCCTTACAATTATAGCTTCCCGGTTCATGTTTCAGCGATTGCAGAATTTCAGCCAAGTTACATTTCTTTTCTTTTTCTTTTTTTTTTTTAGTTTGTTGAGTAAGCTTTTTCTTCTGCAGTAATTCACAATCTGTTCTTTGTGTGGGCTGCTACCTATTTATAATTCGTAAAATAAAAGTAACTTAAAGGAGCCAAATACATAGCTTTGCTTGGTATTGAGCATGAGTAGCAATAGCTTGCTTTCATTGATGCAATTCTCTTATCTCAGAATTTTAAATATTGACCATAGGAAAACTCAGTGGCAAGTGTACAGTAGTCTTCTTGTGTAATAAGGAAGTGAAGGAACTTTAATAAATGGACGGTTTGTGACTAAAACTAGGTATACAGTAAATATATAATAGGTGTTTGTTTCATTCGTAACTTACAAAAGCAAATTTCCCTGTGTCCCAGCTTTCCATTTATTTTTTTAAATATTTCAAAATGATTTGACTTGGTGATTTTCAACCTTAGTTGCACATTAGAATGTCCTGCAGAGCTTAGAACTTACTAATACCTAGGTCCCTTCCAATAATAGCTAAGTCAAAATCATTTCTTTATTGGTTAACAGTTTTAAATAATGTGTTTTGACCAAGTCTACCCCCAATTGCCTTTAGAAGCTCATTCTGTGTAGTTCTGATGGACACCCTAGTTTGAGGAGTACTGGTTCATGGGATTTTCGACTATACTGGATCTGGAAGCTACTTAATGATTGATTGTATTTCTTAGTACCTCCTTATGGACTTAAAAGGAATTTGGCTTATTTACAAAATAAATACAGTTTTCCTTTTTTAGGGTGTGGGGAACAGGGTCTCTACATAGCCCTGCCTGGCTGTCTTAGAATTCACTGTGTAAACCAGGCTGGCCTTTTTTTTCTTCTTAAAAAAATAAAACCAGTAATTCAGTCGTAAAATTCAGTGTTTTCTCTTTCTGCACCCTTTACTTTAAAAAAAAAAATTAAGTTATTTGAAAAAGCACGTTTAAAATTTTCAGATTTCAAACCCTGTGAGTAATGATTCTGTGCTGTGTGCGCATGGCTCCTTCGCCCATCATTACTGTACCCTGTACAATTGTAGCTTTGTTGTTGTTTTAAGGTAACCATTTTTAAAATATATTTTAAAAAGAACATATATTTGAGTAAACATACAGCATGCTAACACAGATCAAGTTTTAAAGATGAATGTGTTGATAGAACTGGCCTTGTTAGAGAATAAATAATAGTGCTTTGGGAAGAGTAGTGATCATCTGGGTGGGAAAGAAAGCCTTGTAGGTATGAGTGGAGCAGGTCATACAAGCATGTGTGTTCATTCACACATACTTCATAAAGAGACTGCACTAGATAAACAACTGTTATTGCTACTCTTTTGTAACCTTGTTCCTTAAGGCTTGATGTTCTAGTTTTTAAGATCATCTTCCTGTTGTAAAATTGTATTTTGTTCAAGTACTTTGTTTACAATTAAAATGAATAAAATTTACTAGAAGATAAGGTTGTGGCTTACCTGGAAAGCATTGCCAGCATGACTTGGTGTAGACTTAAAAAATACATGTGATTATAATGTGGAATGATCATTGACATTTAAGGACTAGTGGTTGTACCTCCTGAATAAATGTCTATCTGTGCAATTTCTAACTTATGGTTTATTTCTCTTCTGGCAGCAATCTCATTTTGTAGTTTTAATTGTCCAAAATTTATGAGTAATGTTTTTTCAAAGGTTGTTGAAAATAGTTACATAACGGGGGACCATCACTTGATTATTAATTTTCAAGACGTTTTAAACTAATTTATAATTGGACATGATTTTTAAAATATTGGCAAAGATTTGATATACTTGTACTCTTTTTAGTTTGAGAAAATAATTTGGAAGGTGAAACAGTACTTTTTCAATAGCTGAATCATTTAGCAATTAAATTGTGATTCTAAGGCTTATTTAAAGTATAATTGTATGAGTCGTGCTTGTCCTTTACTTTTGACAAAACTGATAGAACTACAAACAGATGTTATTTCTGAACGCTGTGTATAAAATAACCTTTACATAGAGTAAAAGCAAAATCTGTGGTGGCTCCTGAAATAAAACTTCAGTTTCGGTATTTTGTTTGCCTTTCATAAAAAATAACTAAACAATTTTTTTTCTTCCATTATTTTAAGATGTGATGTGATGTGGCTGACAGCATAGACTGATACTCAGCTAAGTCCTATTTCGCCTCTGTACTGTGAACCTTACACAATGTACTTTTCTGTCTTGTTACAATGCCCTGCAGAACTTAGTCTCTTCTGTCATCTACAGTCAATGTATCATTGCTATCTCATTGTGTGTAAAGCCCTTTGAAGATGCCTTCATGTACTAGTTGTGTAGACCCCTCATATTAACTAACTTTAGGATCCTGTTAGCAAAAGGAAGGAAGTAGTAGGGGCAATACGGTGGCTTAGCAATTAAAGATAAATGCCACCAGGCTTAACGACCTGAATTCAAGCCCCAGGACTTGAAAGGGGAGAACCACTCTTGCAAGTTGTACTGTGACCTATATGTATGGGCAAATACACATATAAAATGAAGTTGTTAAAGTGAGTTACCATGTCAGAATGAAAATTGTTAGGAAGTCCAGTTATAATATTCATTAAATACAAAGGCAATTTGTGAGGGAGTGACCTAGACTTTATAGTCAGTGGGTTGCATGGGTAATAAAGACATAGGGTAAGGGATAGGGTAATGCTATAGCTCAGAGACAGAGTGCCCTCCTACCATACTGGAGGCCCTGGATTTGAACTCAACACCCATCCTCAAAAATTACCAGCCAGGTGGTGGTGCACACACCTTTAGTCTCAGCACTCAAGAGGCAGGCAGATCTCCATGAGTTTGAGGCTAGCCTGATCTACAATGCTAAACAAAAACACTCTGTCTCAACACTTCCCCCACCCAAAAAAGAAAGATAAATAAAATTGCCAGGATGCAGCAAAAGCAGCTGTGAGGCCTGTGGGAGAAATGTAATCTGAAAACATGAAAATTTTATTTCTGCCTTTTTTTTCTGGAAGCCTAGAGTTTAAATATGACCTGTGACCTGACCTGTAACTTGATGGTGTCCAGTGTTATGGGCTGTCTTATGTCCCTTCAGAAAAAGATGTAGAATCCTAATCCCCAACCTGACAGGGAGATAGTTGTTCCAAAAGTAACCAAGTGAAAATGGGTGATAATTTAAGACAGCCTAAATCTTTGGGGAGAGTTGAACACCAGCACCATGTCACACAAAGGTAAGGCAGTCATCAGGGAACTTGTGTACATAGATGCCCTGATCGTGGACTCACATCATTTCATCCAACCAGTTTATAATACCCACGTTGTGGTGACATTACCAGGATCCAATACTGAACCAGAACTCAGTGTTGTTTCTCCCGTGTGCAGTAAAGATTTCGGTGACTTGAAGAGTTCTGCATGATCCGTTCCCAGTTCCTCTGATGTCTACAGTTCCCTCAACCTATTGCTACCTCACCACCTTTTGGGGTGGGTTATTTCTTTTGAAGTGAGGTCTCACACCACGCCTGACTACAGTTCACATTCTGCTAAAGGATGAGCAGACTTCAAGCTTGAGAAGGAAATGGCTTACACAATTAGCTTCTGTGGTCCGGAACTTATGGACTGTTGCCACCATACAGATATGAGGGCTTGTTCTCCACAGTCTTCAGATCCTCACTATGGAGGGATCCCTGCAGAAGGAACATGGGGACCACTAGAGTAGAAGTAAAATCCAGCAACCAAGCAAATGAATACAGAAATTTGGAGGTTCCTTCGTTTTAGTAAAAAGCTAAACGTCTAGGACAAACTTTTTTTTCTGCAGTGAAATGACTCTTACACATATTATGCAAATACTCTAGCACTGATCTAAATCCCTGGTAAAATACATTTTCAAGCCTTTGTTGTAGATCCTGGTAGACATGGAAGTTAAAATGTAAAGTGTCTGATTATTTTATGATATGACTATTTCCTTTGAATCCGATGAGGATAATGGGGCAAGGAAGGCTCGTTTTGTTTGTAAACTTGAGATCTTATATCAGCCTCCCAAGTACTGGGAATAGAGGCATGCACAACCATGCATATATGTAATTTTGTATGCAACTGAAAAATACATTTACAGGAGAAAGGACTATTATTACTTTTCTTTTTTATAGTTCATTTTTTATTTTTTTATTTTACATATCGATCCCAGTTCCTTCTCCCTCTTTCCCACTCTCCCACTCTCTCATGTCTCCCAACAACCCCCCTCCCACCCCAGCCCCACTCCACATGTAGGGTGATGCCTTCCAGGAGAGGTCATCTGTCAAGTCATTTGGAATAGGGACTAGACATTCTCTCCTCTCTCTAGGTTAAGGGAATATCTCCATGGGGGATGTGCCCCCAAAGTCCTTTTGTACACCAGGGATACATCCTGGTTCCACTGTATGAGGTCTCTTAGACCTCTAGCTGAGACCCATATTCAGGGGGTCTGAGTAAGCTGGATTCCCAGCTATCAGTCTGGGGGGCCCATTAGCTCCTCCTTGTTCAGGTCAGCTGTCTCTGTGGGTTTCTGTAGCCTGGTCATGTCCTCCCTCTGCATCTGGATTCCAGTTTGGCTCAGTGTTTAGCTGTGGGTGTCTGCTTCTGTTTCCATCAGCTACTAGATGAGGGCTCTATGATGGTGGATAAATTAGTCATCGATCTCATTACCCGGGAAGGGCATTTATGGTAGCCTATCCACTGTTGCTCAAATTGTTAGTTGGGGTCAGTCTTGTAGGTCTCTGGAAGATCTCCTGAGCATATGGGGAAAGGGGGGGGGGGACAGTGAATGGAGAGGGAACTAGGAGAAAGAGAAGGGGAGGAGAGGAAAGCAGGTGGGACTAGGAAGATGGAGTCAGGGCAGGAATAGATGAGAGAAGAGAGAAAAAAAACCATAAAAGAGGGAACCATTATAAGTTTGAAGAGAAAACTGAACCTAGAGAAATATCCAAAGACCTACAAGACTGACCTCAACTAACAATTATTACTACTTTTTTTTAAAAAAAATCTTCTGTTATCCAAATATTAGGGGCCCTTCAAGTCTTAGCATTGTAGAAATGTAGGCAGAATAGTGGAAACTCTTCCTCATTTCTTTCTCTCCCCCCCCCCCAGCTTTTAGTGAGCATGTATGGTGTAAATGTATGGTGTAACTTTTTTTTTGTTTGTTTTGTTTTGGATGGGATATCTGTGTAGCTTTGGAGCCTGTCCTGAAACTCACAGATATCTGCCTGCCTCTGCCTCCCCAGTGCTGGGATTAAAGACATGCACTACCACCACCCAGCCAAATGGTGTGATTCTCATATACTATACCAGCTGCTTCATTTTATCACTTTAAAATTCATGATGCCCAAAGATGATCTAGATAAGGAAACTGAGGCACAGAAAGATTGCCTCACAGTTGCTGCATCTCTACTTCCTACCAGTGTTGGAAACCCTTGTAAAAAAAATACCCTGGGAGAAAGGATTCAGGAAAATTCTTTCCAAATAGTATCAATCCAGCATGGTGTATGTGTTCTGCCTTCTGTAAATAAGGAGCTAGTTGTGGATCTCTGCATCTGCTTCCATCAGTTACTGGATGAAGGGTTTATGATGACAATTAAGGTAGTCATCAATCTGATTGCAGGGAAGGCCTGTTCAGGCCCCCTCTCCACTAATGCTAAGAGTCTTAGCTGGGGTCATTCTGTGGGTTCCTGGGAGTTTGGTTTCTCGATAACCCAATAACGATTCCCCCTATCAAGATATCTTTTTCCTTGCTCTCCCTCTCTGCCCTTCCCCCAACTGGACCATCAACCATCTCATTCCCTCCCTGGAGTTCTACTCCCCCTCCCCTTGTCCGCTCCCACCTTCTTTTCCCCCTCTCACCTCCCCCATGCTCACAATTTACCCAGGAGATCTTGTCTATTTCCCCTTCCCTGGGGGATTCATGTATGTCTCTTTTAGGATCATCCTTGTTACCTAGCATCTCAGGCCCTGTGTACTGGGCCAAGCTCCTGGAGTCCAGTTGAAGAGAGGGAGGAGTGATAACATGAGCAAAGGGGTCAAGACCACAATGGGGGAATCCCACAGAGACAGCTGACCAAGGCTAATGGGAGCTCACTGACTGGACTGACAGCTGGGGAACCTGCATAAGACTGAATGTAGGTGACAGCTGGGTGGCTTGGGCAGTTTGTGGGGCCGGAGGCAGTAGGACCAGGACTTAGGCCTACTACATGAACATTTTGGAGCCAAAATGGATTTATCCTACAAACAGAGGGGGAGGGCCTTGGTCCTGCCTCAATGTGATGTAACAGACTTTGTTGACTGCCCATGGGAGGCCTCCTCTCCCTCTCTGAGGAGTGGATGGGGAGGTGGGATTGAGAGGAGGGGAGGTAGAAGGAACTGAGATTGACATGTCAAAGTAAAAAGATTGTTTAACAATTACAAATGCAAAAAAAGAGCTAGTTAGCAATTTATTCACAGAGATGAACATCTCTTATTTTGCCACAAGGTGGCACCAACACACCATTGTTTCTATTTTAGAATTCTGTTCTTAGGAACTAACAATATTTGTGCAATTCAAAACAATTTTTTTTTTAAATTAGAGCTTTTCAAATGTAGACAAAGAACTCTTCCTAAAATTACACTAAAAGTAAGAAAACCTGTAAGAAATTTCGATGGTGGTGAATATCTACAGCCTTGGTAGGGTATATATAATAGTGATTTTGTAGCAATGTTAACTGAAAGAAAATTATCTTTGGCTTTGAGTCTTTTTAGCTGTCTTTACACAAGCTCCTTGAAGATGGGAAAAGTAATTTCAGAGGGGGGGGGGACAAGCAACGTCTTTTAAATAAACCAAAGGCCATCTTGGTGGTTAGTATTAACTTGCTTATATAACACCAAATTTGTCTAACATCTTTTATTCTCTATGAAAATTAGAGATAAAAAGTGAGCCAGTTACCAAGTAGAAAGAACAGTTGACCTGAACATTAACTCTGGTTTTGCTGATAATGAAAGTATGCTGCTTTGAGTTATACAGTTCCCAGCTGGAGATGATTTCCAACTGTGGTGGAAGGGGTTT